TAATTTAAAATGTGATCAAACACTTTTTCACAAGTGTAGGGGTAAACTTCTCCGGAATTACAGGATCCATGAATTTCCATGCATCATCATTTCAAACTCAAACGAAAAGGGAAACAAAAAAACACAGATTTCCAATGGTCCAACACTCCAACGCAGAAGTGTTACCTTCGCATAATAAAGAGAATACAACGCAGCAGTATTTTGAAATTTGACACGGTGAACAGAGCGGAGATAGCTCGTACGCAAAAGGTGTGTGCGTCCTATAAGGACTCTGGCAGCGAGCGAGAGACATGAGTTGCTGCGGCTGGAAGGCATCACAAAGACAAACCATGCGCTTGCTTTTGTGATCGTGGTACTGTTACCAGTGCAACATGGCAAGCGAAGCAAATCGTGGTGTCAGACAATAGGTTGACCCATCTCCTCCTCCATACGTTGACCCATCTCCTCCTCCGCGGTCACAGGCCGGCACCGGCTGCCGCTCTCCCGTCTGCTCCATCGAGAGGATGCATGTGACGGGTCTTGACCACGTCGCCCCGCCCTCCCGGCATCCGCTCCTCCGGGGCCACTTCCTCGGCGCCGCAGCGTCTCGCCTTCCACTCCGGGCAAGCATAAGTCGAGCTCAAACATGGACATCACATCCATGCTTAGCGATGCTAGATTGATAATAGTATTACCTTGTTCATCTCCACAAAAATTTGCATGCTCTAAAGCAAACAACAAGCCATGAACAACAAACACATCAGGCATCATAATAGTTCGATTAATCCACGACTCCACCACGATTGTCTGACTGATTATTCTTCCATCCCGGAAAGTGCAGAAACATCTAAAACTTGTTTTTACCTTAAACCTACAGTAACAGGCGATTGATGAGAGAACAAACGCATCTAATGCACTAGGAAACAACCTACTAGAACATGGCGCATCTAATTCACGGGACTCGCGGCGGCCGCCTGGCCTTAATTTGACGACTCGATCAGTAGTCGCCGTTGAACAGCCTCCGGCCGACCTCGAAGGACACGAATGCATCGATGCAGGCGTACTTGACCTGCTCGTCCGACAGGTAGTACGCATCCCAGTCGCCCGTCCGCACCCACTGCGGCTTCTCGACGTGGGCGTCCATGACGGCTGCCGCGATGCCCTTCAGGCCCGCGTTGCGGAGGTCCGGCCGCTCCATCTCCGCCGCGAGGTACGCCAGGTCCACCGTCTGGTCCACCTTCAGGCCGTAGTCGTTCCAGAGCCGCTCGGCGTCCGCCTCCACGCCCACGCCGACGAACGTGTAGCCGGCGCCGAGGAACTCCCCCAGCGCGTCGGGGATGTAGTCGCAGCGGAGGAACTGGAACACGAGGCACCGGCGCCCGACGCAGAGCTGGAGGATGGCTGTTTTGCTGTACGCGCGGCCGAAGCTGGGGCGCCACTCCACGTCCAGCCCTACGACGAGCTTGTGCAGGCGGCGGCGGTGGACGGCGAGGACCTCGTCGAGCCAGCCCTCCACGGCCGCGCCGGATGCCGTCACGGTGGTGGTGATCACGTCGCTCTCGAAACCAACGGTGTACACCTTGGTGGCGGCCATTGGATCCGATCTCCTAACCCCGAGTGTTCTGTTCCTTCTCTCTTGCGCAGACGACACAAGAAGCTCTCTGGGACTCTGGGTACCGGGCGTCCAGGGGCCAAAACTCGTTAGGGTTACAGGCAAATAGTTCGGTATGTATTTTTTTTTCTTCTCTGACAACAGGACCTAAAAGAAAAGCCTTTTCTAAAATGGGTCTACAGGAGAGATGATACTTAGATTTAGGTTATACCTCTCAGGACATCTAAAATAAGTCTTTTATATAAGTACTTTATTAGAGGCTATAGATATTCTGTTGGAGATCTATTTTAGATTTGAGTCTCCTTATAGTCTCATGCTGGAGACCTATAAGGAGAGAACCGTGCGTATGATGACGAGGGATAATGGCACATTTGCCCCTACTTTTATTTCAGTTATGCACTCCTTTTTGTTTCGCGGAGAGAGTATACGTGGGGATCAAAGAATTTGCACAATTGTCACATGGAAAGCAGGGGCAAATATGCCAACATCTCCTCATGGGATGATAATTTACTCATCTCTATTTCCTCTCTCTCTCTCTCTCTCTCTAAAACTGGAGGTACGATTTAGGAATTCAGATTCTCGTAGAAACGATTTGGATTTAGATTCTCTCTCAAAACATTTTGAATAAAGAATCAGAATCACTTTAAGAAGTTGTTTGGATGTTAGCCTGGATTTGGATTCCTAAAGAGCATTTTTTAATAAAAATCATATAAATATTGAAATATGCTTTAAAAAGTTTGAATTTTTTGTATGTGAAGAACAACTTAGATGTAACCCATTTTAACTCGTTGCACTAAAAAGGATTATAATTGAAAAACTATAATCACTAGTAAAAGAAAGCTAAAGCGTTTCATGACTGAAACGCTTCACAGTTTGTGCATTTGACACAAATTCTTAGTAGAATCAGAACCGATTCAGCCTTCCAAACGGCCCCTTAGTGATAGAACACCTCATTTCCTCACATCTCTTGACTACTCGGGATTAAGTGCAGCTAGAAATAATAATAGTATTACATTTTTTCATAAGGGTCTGTTTGGATCATTTCATTTGGAGGAATTGAAATCTACTTAATAAATTAGGCTATTTGACTTAAAATTTAACATTCCACCACTTTACAAAGTCCACATATAAGCCTGTCTTAAATTCATATGGTGGGAGATACAAATTGATTCTATAGATCACTATTCTATATTTCTACTTTGCAACTTATAACACACTCTTTAACTCACTCCCATACGACAGAAATGCAATTCATAAGTATCTCTCTCGTATAGCCAACAATAATATACAAATATAATCCATATATAACCGTATTAGCTTAATTAATGTGTGTCTAAATCATGATTCTTAGATTAAATTCAATTTCAAGGATCCAAACGGGTAAGGGAAGTTTATTAGCATTTTCTCTTACACGCGTATAACCATTGCAAGGGGATTTGATGGAACACTGGAACCGGGAAGGTTTTCCCTTAGGGCCAGTTTAGTTCCACTTTATTTTGCAAAAATTTTCAAGATTCTCCGTCATATCGAATCTTTGGACACATACATGAAGCATTAAATATAAATAAAAAATAAAACTAATTACACAGTTTAGACGAAATCCACGAGACGAATCTTTTAAGCCTAATTAAACTATGATTAGACACTAATTGCCAAATAACAATAAAAATGCTACAGTAGCATTTCACCAAAAATTTTGTAAACCAAACAGGCCCTTACACGCTTTGAGAAACAGAAACTTTTGCTTTCTGGCGTTCGCACTGTAGCAGCGCAGCGGCTCTGCGCGTAGGTCTGCTCGTTGCTCCCTGCAATGCTCATTGGCAGGAGATGGCAAGCGAATCAAAGTTGTCAGGTTTGACTGATATCTTCATCCATGCCAAGTGCTGCAAGTGCAAGTGCAGGACGGCAGGACTCAGGATCAGGAGTCGCAGGACCAACAAGACCGTCCCTATGAGGGGGTGTTGGCATATTTGCCCCTGCTTTATTCAGCTTTGCACGTAGGCTCGTTCCCTTCGCTGAAAAGTCATGGCTGAAAGTACTGTTCGTTAATTTGTTACGAGAGAAAAACACTATTCCTTTGTTAAAATAGTATGACTCATAAGACAAGCGAGCAGCGTTATAGTATTCTCTTTTGAATGGAAAGAGCAGGGGGTGATCAAAGAATGTAAACATTCAAGTCGACAAACCATTAGGCCTCAATGCAAATGGCGGTAGAAACGTAGAGCTGGCATCAAAATATCTGGTTTGCATATTCAGTATCCCTATATCTGTCGTTACTCATCACCTCTCATCTTCCCCTTTCCATCTCTAAAATTTAGTTGCCTAAAGTTAAATGCTAAATTTAAGATCACTTTAGCTAACTTGTGTGACCTAATAAACTAATAGTTTTGTTGTAAAGTTGGTTACTATAAACGTTACTTTAGTAGACCACCTGTTCGGAGTCTTAAGTGCTAAAGTGACCATTGGATCGCCCGGGCTTATAGGAAGCAAAAATTGGTAAGATCTCTTCTACGACACCTTTAAATAATCTTTTGGTTATTCTGACCTCGGATACATGACTATTTTCTTATAATCCACATGGCATTAGGGGTACTACCTTCGTTCCAGAATAAATCAATTCCTAGAGTTGTCTTAAGTCAAACTTTTTAAAGTAAGAACAAATTTATAGAAAAGAACTCGAAAAATTTATGGCGTCAAGTTAGTATCATTAGATACATTATAAACTATTTTTCACAATGTGCTCATCAGTAGCTGTCATTTGATACACTGTAACCTAAATTTATAGAAAAGAGCGCTAAAATTTATGACACCAAATTAGTATCGTTATACAGGCCCACTGAATGTTGGCAACGGAACTTCATCGGTAGCTTTGCAGACTACGACATCAATCAACCAAATGGGCCCTTATGTTATTGTGGTTCAAAACTATTGTAGTTAATTATAAAAGATGGTAATATCATATGTTCTGTTCGGGCTTTATAATTCACTAAGGATAATTCAATCCATCATCTAGTATTGTTTGGACTTTATACCTTTCAAAGGAATTGGATTGTAAATGTTAAGAGAGTACACACATTTCATCCTCCTTTCCAAACAAAAAAGAAGATTGTATTATTGAAGACTACATTGATATAAGAAAATTATTGAAAGGTGCATTTCTAAATTAATTACTATTGTTTGATTAATACATTTATTCTTTTAAACTTGATGAATACATTTCTGATGGATCTAGGACTAGTGATCTTTAGCAGATGAGCCGCCCAATGTTCACTCGAAAACTTTTCCGGCCTGCGCCAGTAAGCATCAGGCCGGCCCAACTTGTTGGATATTTTACTCCTCTCGCGCTCACCCCGGCCACGGATGCTCCTTTGAGCCGAGCGCACGTCCGTCGTCCAGAGCGCAGACGGCAATGCAGGCCCCCGCGCGCTCCTCCGCTCCATCCTCGCCGCTCGTCTCCTCCGCGCCACCGCTACCTCCACGGCCACAGCGCGTCGCTTTCCCCTCCCTCCGCCGCCGTGATCTCCTCCTTCTCCCGGCGGCGCTGACCCTCCCGATGGCGCCCGCCCCCTTGCCTGCGTCGGCGCGCGGGCTGTTCCGCATGCCCCCGCCGCGGCTGGCGAACCGCTACTTTCTGGTGCGCGCGGGCGAGTCCGTGTACGAGGGGCAGGGCCTCCTCCGCACCAACCCGGTCGCCAAGACCTCCGTCGACAGCGGCCTCTCCCCCGTGGGGCTCCGCCAGACGGCGCGCGCCGCGCTCGAGCTCCAGCGCCTCGGCGCGTGCGAGGACGACTGCTGGATATGGCCGTCCATCACGCAGCGCGCGTACCAGGCGGCCGAGATCATTGCCGCGGCCAACGGGATCAACCGCAGGTGAGGTGCCCGCGCCTACTCTCTGTTACTTCAACTGCCTCTTTGATTCCATATGGATACTGAATTAACTTGCCTTGATTGCAGTCGCATCGTGCCGGAGTACAGCTTCTTGGATGCACGCGGATTGGGTGCGTTTGAGGGGAAGAGCTTAGACACCTTGCCCGAGGTACTTATTTCTGCACATTATATCATAAACAGGCTTTCACTACAGTTGCGTGTAAGTAGCATTTGTGGGAGTACAAGAGCAGCTAGCTGCTAGCTTGAAAGGAACAATGTTTCTTATTACAAGACAACAGGGATACAGCATGTTTTCAGGTTCAGATGTTGCTTAACTGCTTCATCATCATCGTAAACCAAACTATTGTCAGATCACTGCCAATGCTTTTTTACACTGCTGAATTAATTAGTGATAATGGAATTCCAGCAGATACATAAAGCTGCTGGGCTTTCTGGGCATGAACTAATAGTCAATTTTTCACGAATGTGTATCCTCCTAAGATAATGGATTCCTACTTTTCAATTACTTTAATCGAGCTGCATGCTCTACATTAGATTGTTTTTGCAACAAATTTACTCCTATTCTGACTGAACTATGCTTTTCTTGGCATGATGGCTGCATTAGGTGTATGCGTCAGATAACATTTCTCCAGACATGAAGCCTCCTCCTATCAGTGATGGTACTCCAAATGAGAGCGTAGCAGACGTATTTGTTCGGGTGACACAGCTCATGTCAATACTAGAGACCCAGTACTCAGGGGAAACTGTTGTCATTGTTTCACCAGATTCTGACAACTTGTCAATTCTTCAAGCTGGATTGATTGGGCTAGACCTTCGGAGGTAAAACGTAGTAACCTGACTAACTCTAGTGTATTCGGTATTGTACTTGGTTATGCAGGTTTTTTTCTCTGGTGAACAACACTGCACATTCCTCATTTGGTTCTTAGGACACTTCTCTCATTCTTACTCTTAGGCCCCGTTTGGCAGGGCTTCACTTCACTAGTGAAGCCATTTTTCTTTGGCTTCAGCTCCACGAACAGCTCCACCGGTGGAGCTGAAGCGGTTTTGGTAAACCGTTTGGCAAAATGGCTTCCCTGTGAGAGCATGTTTTTAGGGGCCTAGAGGAGGAGCCGGGAGAAGCCACTATTTTTGGCTCCTTCCCACCCCAAAGCTCTGTGAGAACACGTTTTTATGGGCTTCATCGGTGGAGCCGTTTCATTTTACCCCGTTTGGCAGAAAACGGCTCCAAACGGCTCCTGAAGCCGCTGGAGAAGCCCTGGCAAACGGGGCCTTAAGCAGAACTTGTGTCAGAGAGGTTTGATTTGTCATTATAATGTTACGCACATAAACGGTCTTCTGGTACTGTTGCTAACTGAAGCCTCGAAGGGAATCGTGTCTTAACTGTTTGATGCTATTTCTGCAGGCATAGCAGCTTATTTTTTCAGCCTGGTGAGGTCCGGCCAGTTGATCCCTCAAGCATACCTGAATACAAGCAACCTCCTTCTACTGTTTTTAAGTGTGCAAATCCGCCAAGTTGTAAAGAGTAGTTCACTTCCTGACCCTACAGTTCATATTTTTCTGTGCCTGTATGAATGTACCCATGAAAAATGTCTTGGTGATAATCGTATATAGCTGAAAGTATGTTTTGTGTGTCACAAATTAGTGAGTCACCTTGCGATTGCATGGCACTTTTGCTGTACAGTGGATCGCAAGTTCTTAAGCGACACATGGGTCTGATCGATTATATTCTTGTAATAATAACAGTAATTGTAGATAAAATGAGCTTCATGCAAATGTGTGCGTACGATTTGCAAAGTAAATCAAGGCTTTCATTTTACGGTAATACTGGCGTCCGGCTGTCCGGACGGACCCCGCTCACGTCGCCTACTCGTGGAACCGACCCCGCTCGCGCCGCCCCTGTCTGCGTCGCCCCTGTCCATGTCACCTGCTCGCTTGAGTACTTAGGATCGTAAATGTGTGGCAGAACCGTCTAATCTAATAGTTTTCAGGAGTACTCGTCTTCCATTAGATACTAAGTATTTAAGGGAGGACACCAAATTATACGGTTCCGTCAGGCACACTCCAGGGAAGAACCCAATAATCCACATTTTTTCATCAGAATCACAAATGAGAGAATAAAGCTTACATCATTCTTGGCCATTTCTTACATCACTTTTTATACAACATCAGAATATAATATTTATTGTTATAACAGTGGAATGTAATCATATTATCAGAGTTATGAACAATTTAGTTGAACAGCGGAATATAAACATGTGAACAGAGCTACAGTGGAATTAAACATCTATTTATGACGTGACGAAACATTGATATATAAACTACGACAATATATTATAAAACTTCCATTTAATAAAATATTTGGTGAGAGTTATAAATAAAAATTATGATCGCAGCGTAAAGAAAATCCTCTCTGAGCCCACTAGAAGGAATCCACACATAAAGGTTAGCTCTAGCCTCCACCTGTCACCTGCAACAGGGGAAAATAAACCCTGAGTACTCAATTATACTCAGCAAGACTTACCCGATAGGAAGAAACAAAAGACTCCAAGGATATGCAAGGCTATCTGGCTTATGGGTTTATTGCATCTGCAGGAGCATTACTAAAAATTTATCCTTATATTTGATTTTTATTAGCAGTGCATTAGTTTATTAACTAACCATTCTACGTAACTATGTTCATCGTACCTATATGATATGCAATGCGATGCAATGCAAAGACGTAATTAATCGACTGCAATCGTGACTCGTAAAAATACGATTTACGTCTCTCAAGTTAACGAGCTAGTTCTAACGACGACCGTACTTAGGCTATATATCCATGTTATCGAATAAGATGTTATTTCTTAACAAATATTTTAGTTATACAAACCCAGGGTGTTTCTTTATTCTATCATGTTAATTTAATCTTTATTCGAAATAGGGTATCATTACCTATCTAACAAACTAATTATTCTGGAGCTACAAAAATTACAGTGAGCTACTATTAATAGTAGAAATCTATTGTAAAATTTTTAGAGTTAATACTATCACCGATTTATCACGGAAATCCCTACAAATTCACCTTTTAACAATATTAGACATGTTAAAATAATTAGAGCAACCCTAAAAACATACCGAACCTATGCGAACAAAATACACTATTAGGTAGATCATGATTTTAGAAACTCAACAAACTGATTTGGTATTTTTATGATTTTTCTATGATTTACTATGAATTTCCAAGCATTCAATCGATTACTAATATTAACAAAATACCGAAAAAGAAGAAAAATCTCGTGGGCCCGGCGGCCCAGCCCGGCCTGGTCTAGCAGGCAAAGCAGCCCAGGCGGACGAGGCGCGCGCGTGGCCAAGGTCGGCCCAGCGGGGCGCGGCGGCCTAGGCCCGGATGGCCCAGACGCGGATGCAGCGGCCCAACGCGGGGACGGGCGCGAGCGGCCTAGCCAGAACGGTCGCCGACCCACGCGCAGTGGCAGCAGATCGGCCTAGCACGACGGCGCTAATTTGCGTCGAGACCCCTGTACTTTTACTTAATCCACCCGTAGTACTCTACACTATTTAACACTATGAACGCGAGTCATAGTTTTCGCATCTAGCACCCTAGAAAATGTTCTATTTACATATTTACGTCCTCACCTGCTCCTCCAAAGCAGAGCACGGACAGGGAAGCATCGGCCGACGGTCAATCCTGGCCGGAGAAGGCATGGCGGTGGCGGGAACCCACCGGTGAGGGGCACCGAAACCCGCGCGACCACGAGATGGCCGCGATAAGACCCGAGCCGACCCTTGGTAGCCTGCCCGTGCGAGCCGTGGTGGTGGCAAGCCGGCCGCGGCGGGGTGCAACGGTGGCGCGGCCTCGACGGGCACCTGGCCATGACACGGAGCTTAACGGAGGTGCAGGCTCAGCACGAGGTGGCGGTGAGCAGTGGAACAGTGGCGGGGGCGCAGGCGCGTAGGGCATGGGGGGGAAGCCACTGGTTGCGAGGAGGAGGAGCGCTCGTGAGGGGCACCGATGGTGCGGGCGCATCCATGGCTGATGCTCGGCTTGCATAGGACCGCGCTATGGGACGCAGCAGCGGAGCAGGGAGGGAGGTGCAACGACGGTGGGCACAACCTTAGCGGATGCTCAGCTCGGCAGAGCAAGCGAAGATAGGGGTGGACAGGGCAGGGCAGCGTGGCAAGAATAGTTAATACCGACTCCGTCGGTGGTGGCAAACAAACAAACCCGTGTACACGGCGATGGGGTGAGCAGCGGCATCATGACAAGGTCATTAGTTCGATGGAACAACGGAGGCAGTGGCTACTCGGTGGTGTCAAGCAGAGAAACAGAGGAAGGGGAAAGCAGCGCGAGGCTCGGTAGAGTCAGATAGAAACAAGCAAAGCAGGCAGAGACAAACAAGGCAGGCATAGAGGCAGAGACCGAGAGAGTGAGAGAGAGCAGAGACAACTCGGTCACGGCGTGCACAAGAAGCAACGCGGGAAGAGGGAGCAGCGGGGCGTGGGCACGATAGAGCCATGTGCTCCCATTAAAATTTGGACAAGACGCTAGCTAGGGAGTGAAAGACAATGGCGCAGGCAAACAGACATGCCGAGGTGCAGAGCCACGACGGGAGACGGGGTGGTGCATAATTGGGAAGCAAGGTGAGTATGTTGTATGCCGTGTCAGGAAAAGTAAATGAAGCTGTTGCGCTATCTCTCGTCTGTTACGGGCTTTCACACCAATCACATTAAATTTATGAGGCGGCCAGACGGGCAGCTGTCGCGGGCAGGTTACCAACTTATTATAGGGACTAAAACGAGTCTAGACGTAAAAACATGGCACTAGACCAAGGCTATTCAACTGAGCGTGCTTATCCAAATAAATACATGAGTATATATACATATATATACCTATAGATGTTTCTATCAGTTTACTAATTTAGACAATTAGCAACGTCTAGGCACAAAAAAAAAATCAACAAAGCTCGAATTTAAATTTGATTCAAAAACTATACATATATATCGTTCTATTTAATAATGTATTTTATTTCCTTCTATTTTTGAGTTCTCGTCTACTCTAATCACGTTCTAATTTATTATTAACAAGTTAATAATTACGTATTTAGCGCTAAAAGGCTCATGTAACCCTGGAGGTGTTACAACCAATTCCCCTAAAAAGAATCTCGTCCCGAGATTCGAAGCAAGAACCAGAAGAGGGGAAACGTGATTACATTTCATAGATCAGGAATTACACAAAAGATTACATGACTTTGAATACTAAACCACATGGGGATTTAGGGATACATTTCTAAGAGTAACCTATTACAACCAAAGCTTAATCCAGAAGTCGAGATAAACGAGGGTAATAGAGAAACAACAAGATAATGATTATCCAAAACATGGCGTATGACCAACAGATCCAGAAACGGTCGACTGAGAAGTCAAACATCGTGAACCCTAAGATCGACTAACCAACGGTAGACTTGAACTTCTTCGACGAAACCAGATCCTTTCTTTTCAAATTATACCATCACCTCAGACTGACGAACCTAGCTCCACAATAACGACTGGATCTCGTAGCTCTGTGTCGGGTTCGAAGGGATGGGGATGAAGAAGAAGAGCAAGGACCAAGGGTAACTTATAGCGGAGAACAGAGGTGGGACGCAACACACCGGAAGTGGAGGCGGTGCGGATGAGGTACACAGACGAGTCATGCTGTGGGGATAAACACGACCATGGTGCGCTCCCTGCGCAAGCGAGCGGAGGGGAAATAAATGAGAGGAGAGGGGGGGGTCCGCTCGACGAGTTAGGCGTGCGGGTGGCCATGTCTCCAAAAGAAGAAAGAAGGGAGGGGGAAAGGGGGGGTCCGGTACGGGGACGAGGGCGTGGGGTCGAGAGCTGACCGGATGCTAGGAAAAGGAGAAACGCACAGTGCCCAAAGATGGCGGGT